TTTTTTTAATCGTTGTTTTTGGGATGGGTTTTAAGATAATATGGTTTAGAATAATAATTATGCTTTAGAAAAAAATAATTAATTAAATATATTTTTTATAAAAAAACATATTTTAATAGTTTTTTTATTCTAACATTGTAATGTTATAATATAATAAATTATGTGATTTAAAATAACATTATGACTAAAAAAAAATATTTTACGATTAGCTTCTGAATCCGAATTTTATTGGATCTTATCTTTTTAATGAAATATAAAACTGAATTTGTTAAGCTGTGGATAGTATTGCAGTGTTAATATTTAATGATAAAAGAACTTATTTTTGGAAAATTTATTGGAAATATTTAATGTTTTATTTTTTTAGAAAATTTTGATAGATAATTATCGCCTAAATTTTCCTCTAATTCTGGGTCAAAATATAAGAGATTTTTTTGACTCTCTATACTAAAGCTTGTTTGTTTCTAAGAATTTCTTTATAGATATAAATATTTTTTAACTTTCCTTTGGCGAAAGCTTTATCCTAGGTCTTTCTAGTAATTAAAAAATAAAAAATTTTTTAAACATTTGTAAAAACTTTTTGAAGGAGGATACACCCATGTAGTTTCGGCCTTGGATTCGCTAATATCCATAGAAATTATAATATTAGATAACTGCCGAACATGGAATTATATAATAACCTAACCAATTATTTCAGAAACTATCATTAATCTCACTATGATAAAAAGACAACGCAATTCGATTAAAATGAATATTTTCAAAAAGTTATCATGCCAGATCCTGGTTCGCTTTATTATTTGAAAACTTATTTCTGTTTAGACCAAGGCTATTCAGATTTTGAACTAGAACATTCTGTTTTAAGTGTATATAATACTAATTCTAAATTGCCTCTTTCTTTATATTCTATTTAGAGAGGGCTATATAGACGGCTAAACAGACCGAATTCTATTTAGAGATAAGTTAGAACACTCACTTTGCACTATAAATTTTATCACATTTCAAATTGAAATGATTCCCAAAAAGAAAGGAAAAAACAATTTGTATTTCCTCTTCAATTTCCCTTTTTATTCTTATAAATACGAAATATAGGAAATTTTTCAATTTTTTTTTAATCAGTATAAAAAAAAGATAAATTAAAGTTTGATCATGAAGTTTATAAAATTGTTAAATGCTCAAATTAAATTATCTCTTTGAAGAGAGAGAAAAATTAAAAACACTTAAAAACGTGTGTGAAACGAAGTTTGAGAGAACAAGCGGGTTTACATTCTGTATACTGTTCTGTTAAAGAGTCGCAATCTTGGTGAGGTTACTGATCGTGCTAAAGCGGGGTGTATTAAGGAAGCGTAATCTCTGTGAAACAGAATTTGAGAAATTGAGCTAAGTGAACGAAGGGTTTAATTTAATTTTACTCTTACATTCTGATTACTGTTCAGGATAGAAGAGGGTGCTCATAAGTTGCAAACTTGATAAGATTACTGTTCACGTTAAACGGTGGCATCAAAGAGTCTTAATGTGAAACAGAGTTTGAAAAGTGAGAGAACAAAGAGTTTAGTTAATTTTACTAATATACCTTGGTTATTGTCCACGGTAAAGATAGGTACTAATGAGTTGTAAACTTTATGAAACCAAAGTGCGAAACTCACAGTTAGTTCAAGGCTTAAAAAAAAATTCTCAATGATATATACGGTGCCGCTTTAACGCGTGGCTAACCAAACTTATTCTCTGTGGAACAGATGATGTAATAACAAGCATTATCTACATGGTATTAATTAAACACGGGAATGGTTATAAGGAATGTAAGATAAATGCAACAATTATTATAGTAAGTCATACTTAATAAAGCAACATTATTTATTGAATATCGAGCTCATAAATATGCCTGATTGAGATATTTATTTATAAGTAAAATTAATTACATAGTTTTTATTTTTTATTTTTTAATAAATACCAAAATAAATAAATATAGATAAATGAACTACTGAAACGGTATATAATAAAAATCATTGTAGGAAAAGTAAATAATTTATTAAAATAGGGAAAAGTAATAATAAACCTAAATACATAATATGCTTGCATTTTACTTTAAGCAATAGAAGTAGGAGAGATAGGAGCTATCAAACGGTCTAATTATTTCAAATTTAGTCAAAAGATGTATTTCTAAGCGTACATCTATCTACCTTATGTTCACTATTAACGGGAGCTCCTTAATCAAAAAATATTAGTCAAAACAGTTTTTTAACCCTTTTTAACAACTCTTTTTTAATAGTATTTTTTGCCTCGATGAAAAAAAACATTTATTCAAATTTTATAGATTTTGAGATAAAAGGTAAAATGGTAAGGAGGGCTATTAAAAATTGATATAACTTTAGATTTAAATAAGTAATAACAAGAAAAGTAAGAAATGTTTAAAAAATTTTGTTCCAGAGTCGATATACTTATGTTAGTGGTAGTTGAGATAATAATAATGGAGAAGTTGGATTAAGCTTTTAATGATATATGAATTCTTAAAAAAAATTGTAAAAAAAGATTTCATTAATTAACCCCCCCCCCTATCCTTCTCCCTCCTTATAGCAGGAATTAAAAGATATAGCATGGGACTATTTTTAATATATTATTTTCCCATTTTCATATAATACAACATTTGAAATAGGGTGTGAAAAAATTTATATTTTTTTTCTTGTATAAATTAAAATTTTTTTTAAAAAAAATACGACCTCATTTACCTGTGTCGTTAAATTTAATTTATTAAAAAACATTTCAACTTTTATGATATATAATTTGTATAATTTAATACTCCCCCACCCCTTTCCACCCTCACTTTTATTTTAAAAAATATATAAAATTAGGATATATCTTTATTCTTTAAAAATAAAAATAATTTTTCAAAAAAAAAAAATTCCCAGGCTGTACTTTGTCGTCAATCGGTTCGATTTTTTTAAAAAGACTAACCCCAATGTTTTTCGCCTCCCTAGAGATTTTGTTTAGATGTTCTAACACTTTCTGCCATATATGAGTAAAATCTCTAAGCTTGCATATTATTTTTGGGCTGAAATAATGGGTTATTCGTTTTTCTTTAAATGGAGCCATTCTGACTTTCCTTATTTCTTTTTAAGATTCAAAAAAAAATAGCTGATTTCACCTTATCGTCAAAATCTATATTTAACATTTTACAAAAAAAATTAATAATATCCGAGTTGCTTTTCTGAATCGAATGAAATTAAGAACAAAAATTAAGTCGAAATAGGACACGTCTTTAGAACTTGTATGATTTATAAACATAAAATTAAGATGTTTTAATCTGAGTTTTATAATAAAAAATTTTTACCAAAACAAAAAATTGGAATTTTAAGTAAAATCTGATCAAATTCTCAGAAAAATCTTCTTTTAAAAAAATCTTCAGAGATCGAAGATTTTTTATTTTGAACATTCAAACTCAGGAGATAAATATCTAAATAATTAGCTCAATTAATCCGTTTTTTACAAGAAAAATGTCCAAGATCATATTAAACTGACCAGAGTTGTTTTTCAATTTTGACACCGGTTTTAGGTGAACTTATTTTTAGTAAGATCGCCCCTAACATTCTCTAGGTAAACTAAATTACGAAACAAGGCAGGACGGTGAACTTATTTTTAGTAAGATCGCCCCTAACTTTCTATATGTAAGCTAAATTACGAAACAAGGCAGGATGGGTGATATCTTGTCTGAAAAATAAATGTGCGAATTTGGAGAGAAGGAAAGAGAGAGGAAAATTTTCTCGTAGCAGGATATACCTACAAGAAAAAGACCCAATGTAAGAACTTTAATTTAATTAAGAGAATTGCATTGTAACACTTAAGAATCAAGCGACATGAATTATTATTTATTTTAAGTGTGCCTTTTTTTTACTAGTAAAACTAACTATAATTTCCTGTAATATAATTTATTTTTTAAATTAAAATTGGCTTGCTAGAAAGCATTCAAAGTTTTTTCAAAATTCGAACTGATTTTTTCCTCTTGAGCAGTTCCTGGGCTTTTTATTATGAGTTTAAATCAAAATTTAACATACCGCTTATAGTTTTAGAAAAAATTATCAGGATAGATGAGACACATAGCATGGAATATTTATTATATGTTTACTATACCTTTTAATAATATTCTTGAATGCGTTATAAAGGGGAAAAGAATTATTTTTTTTAGGAAATTCTGTCCCAAAATCACAGGATTAATTCATTTTGCTATTACTTCATTTGCTTATTATAATTTATACATTACATAATTAAATTTTTCTTGAGGACTTAAATTTCCAAATCTACAAAAATTTAATTTTTCATTATTTATTATTTATTGTATGTTATGTGTGTTGCTGAACCACAAAATATTTGAGACAATTTTGTTATATAAAATAAAAATATCAAAAGTATAAGTAAATATTATTTTATTTTTTTTCATTTAAAAAAAATCTTCGAGATTACAAATATAATGGTGGAAAAAAAAATAGAGTCAGTAAACCCTTGCTTATCAAAATAATGTATTAACGTTATTTTTATTTGAACTAAAATTATTATTTATGTTTATTTTTTAATCTTTCGTATAGTGTTTTAAAATTAACAAGAAAAGAAATTAAATGAAATGAAATGAAATGAAAATAAGATAAAATAAAATAAAAAGAAAAGAAAAGAAAAGAAAAGAAAAGAAAAGAAAAGAAAAGAAAAGAAAAGAAAAGAAAAGAAAAGAAAAGAAAAGAAAAGAAAAGAAAAGAAAAGAAAAGAAAAGAAAAGAAAAGAAAAGAAAAGAAAAGAAAAGAAAAGAAAAGAAAAGAAAAGAAAAGAAAAGAAAAGAAAAGAAAAGAAAAGAAAAGAAAAAGAAATGAAAGAAAGAAAGAGAAAAAGTAAAAAGAAAAGAATTCAAATTTTATATAACAAATATTTTTATTATTATAATAGGTAAAATTTTCATAAATATTATTTTTTATATTTAAATTATAAAATTTTAATTAAATATTTTACAGCAATTTGGAAAGAAAACATATGAAAATGCCAAAATTATAAAAAAAAAAATTTCCTTATATCCATGAAAAATAAAACAAAATATTATTTATAAACCTAATATCTTTCTCATGAATATTATTATTTATTTATAACCCTAATATCTTTCTCGTGAATATCATTATCTATCCATGAAGGAAAAGGGTGTTCTTCCTAGTGAGAAAGATAATAATTTGAATGGAAAGAGAAACATACTGTCGTCAATAAAGAATTCTGGCATCAAATCCATCTATATATCAAGTTTAAAGATATTTAAGAAAATTATTACTTTTTACCTTTATCACAGAGTTTTTTTAAACCTCAATTAAAGCCCTACCCAATTTTTAAAAAATTAAATTAAGATCGAACCCAGCGGGCTTTGGGCCCACTTTGTACTTGCTCTATTTTATATAAATTATTATTTGATTTAAAAAGTTAAAATATTTACAGTTTATCTTTTACAAACTTATTATTTTTAGCCATGTTTGATAAATATAGATTTGATCAAAATATTCAATTTTCAGCGAAAAGTTTAGGTTAGGGTCCTGAAATTGAGTATTGAAAGGAGAAGAAATCATTTTCGTTATTTTTTTATTAATGTAAATATTTCTTCAAATATATTTCACTGCCTTTTTGAAAGGTAATGAATACGATTTGGTTCTAATATTTTCCAATCCCCTTGTGTTGAGCATGAGTCCAGCGATATCTATAGCCTAAAGACTCTATTGAGCGCCTGGAATTCAAATGATTTAAATGTGGATTTGTGGACTGGCACTTACTTTACAGAATTCGTGGTGGTAAGGGTGATAATCATCGGATTTGATAACCACTTCACATAAATTATGAGGAGTATAAAGACTAAATCCTACCCAAAGAAGATATAGTTTTACAATTATAATTATTTTTGGATATAGGCTTAGTCCAAAATATCCTTATTTAAGCCTCTTTTTTAAAAATAAAATAGAAATTTTAAAAAAACGTGGCCAAAATTTGCAAAAAATTTTTCAAACCCTTAACATTAGGCTTCCTTAATCCCGTAAATTAAATAATTTGAAATCTACTTTTTCAATTTATACTGGAGTTTGAAAAAAAAAACTTCGAAGATTTTGAAGATTTTTTTCCCCCAAAATTTTGGTTTACTTATAAAAGTTTTTTCACAAAAAAAATGATTTGGAATTTTAGATTCTTAAATCAACATTCTCAAAAAAATTTTATTTTAAATTGATTTTTTTTTACTTAAACAGATTGATTAAAACTTTTCCCTGTTTTTCTTCCCAGATTCGACTAATTTAAAGGAAGGAAGGAAGGAAGGAAGGAAGGAAGGAAGGAAGGAAGGAAGGAAGGAAGGAAGGAAGGAAGGGAAGGAAGGAAGGAAGGAAGGAAGGAAGGAAGGAAGGAAGGAAGGAAGGAAGGAAGGAAGGAAGGAAGGAAGGAAGGAAGGAAGGAAGGAAGGAAGGAAGGAAGGAAGGAAGGAAGGAAGGAAGGAAGGAAGGAAGGAAGGAAGGAAGGAAGGAAGGAAGGAAGGAAGGAAGGAAGGAAGGAAGGAAGGAAGGAAGGAAGGAAGGAAGGAAGGAAGGAAGGAAGGAAGGAAGGAAGGAAGGAAGGAAGGAAGGAAGGAAGGAAGGAAGGAAGGAAGGAAGGAAGGAAGGAAGGAAGGAAGGAAGGAAGGAAGGAAGGAAGGAAGGAAGGAAGGAAGGAAGGAAGGAAGGAAGGAAGGAAGGAAGGAAGGAAGGAAGAAAGAATATTGAAAATAGAGAATAAAACGTTGATAAAAAAGTGTAAAAATTTTAAATCGAAAGCAAAAACATTTGTAAAACTAAAATTTGATATGAACTCTTCGATAATTCTATTCCTAGACCTCTGACTTATTCTAAATCATAACATTTTTAAAAGTATCAGAACTGTTAATACATCTGAGCGATATATCAAATTATATAAGTTAAATAAAAGTTAATAAATGTAAATAGGCAATAATAAAAATCAATTACTTCCAATTTTTAATTTAAAATTTTTTTTTTTAATTTTTATTACATCTTTTTGAATTTTAGGTTAATAAATATTCATATAAAAATGGGGGTAAAGGGTTATTAATTTACTTAACTCTGAATAGGTTTTTAATTACCTCTCATTTACAGGTTATAAAAAAAATCATACTTACTATAAAATAATAAAAAAAAATTTAATATGTTCGGTAAATAAAATTTAATGTTTATATAATGGAAATCCTTTTGTTTTTAAATGAACCGTCTAACGGGAAGAGATAAATATTAAATATTTTATAAAAATGATAAATTTGTATTATAATTAGAGGGTATGCAATGGACGGGTTTTTAGCCCGCCCGCCCACGCCAGTCCATAATTCGGGCGGGTGTGGTCGAGTTTTCTAAAATATTATCGGGGAGGGGGGAGGGGTTAAAATAATTTAAGTGATGGGTGAGCTTGGGCATGTGAATTTTTAATATTTTCTGGTCAAAATGAGCAGAATAGACATCATTTTATTAAAAATAATAGTTTTATTAGAGAATAATTGCATATTAAATATTATATTATGTTTAATTAAAAATACACTAAAATAAATTAATAAAAAGCCAAACCAGCCATTAAAATAATTTTTTAAACATTAGGCGGGTGGGCGGGTTAAACTAAATTTACAAATAAATAGGTGGGCGGGTGAATATTTTAAACAAAATTATAAGTTGGTGGGAGGGTTAAAAAAATTTAAAACAACGAGTGGGCGCTATTTTTAACTAAAAACCCGCCAATTGCCCTCTAATTGTAGTATTAGTCAGGAAAACCAAACTTGAACCATGAACGGTGTTTTTATCTAATCCGAACCGATATTCGTTAGCTTTGAATTAGTTAACCACAACTTGTTGGTATTCTTTGAGGATAATAGTTTTTTCCTTAGTAAAAGTGAAGTGTATTTTTATTATATTCGTGCCTTCGGCTGGGGAATGGGAAGGGGACAACCTTTGATCGGAAGTGGAAAAGGGGAGAGGGAGATCGGTTAAGCTAGGAGTAAACCTGGTATTTATTTAAAAAATTGTTATACCCAAAATTAGCAAATTATTCTTTTTCATAGGCGCGTAGCCAGAGGGAGGAGGAATAGGAGGGACAAATCCCTGTGCAAATTTTATTATTTTTATAAAAGCCTTTGCCATTGAGCAGTTGCCTATTTTATAAGTGCTCTTAGTAAAATGACATAATGGTCTGTCTATAAAAGATACCTCCTCAAAAAAAACTAATTAGAAAAATTTTTTTGGTATTCCCTTCCAAAGCAAATTTCTGGTTTCGGGCTTGGTGGTTTGCTTAGAAAAGTATGTCTTTATCTTCCAATTCTAGCCTTTTTCTCCTAAATGCAAATCTAAATTTGAAATCTAAATTATTTTTCTTTGAACGAACTCAAAATCATATTGGTTTGTAAAACATTTCATTAATTCATTCATGTTCAGGCCCGCAGACCACCAAAGAATTTGTTGCCTCTATTCGAAAAAATAATTTCGATTGTAAGTCAATTTTTCTAAATTATATTTTCTTTCTTTTGATCAAAAAAAATTTATAAGACATAATATTACAGATAATTATTTATTAAATCTCTCTCGCATCTCAAGCATATGATGAAAAAGAAGAAGAAAGGGGGGGGGGGGGTATATTATCTAAAAATGTGATTTTTTAAAATTTGCGTCGATTTGATTAGGCATGGTCAAATTATAAAATTCCAGCAAAAAAGATTTTTTTTATAATATTTATGTTTAAATTTTATCAAAAATATTAATTTTTTGAGGTTTGAACTTTAAATTTTTTTCTTAAAAATCTTCTTTTATTTAAAAAAAAGTATATATAAATCAAACCGTCTAATTTGATGGTCCAAAATTAGTGACCATTAAAAACTAATGGCTTAATACTAAATATTTGCTCATGGTGGTTACTTTTACTAAAGGGAAAAATACTGTATATTCTTGACCGCCAAGGTCTAGTGTGAATTTGTAGATTAGCTATGCGCGAAAATCTGAGGTTATAGGGTTCCTTTTTTTTGAAAATGTATAATGCTAAATTTCCTTAAAAATTTTAAGTAATTGTCGAGTCTGTAGAAAAGAAAGAGTGATTTTTATTAAAATGATGCAACAAATGAATATAATTTAGAATTTTGGGTGGATATCAAAACAAATGACAGCGATATCGTCCTGGATTATCAAATTGCGCGCTAAAATTTAAAAGCTATGCAGGTAACAATATGCCAATACTATGTATTTAAAAGAACGATATAATATTGATTCATACCCAATACCAAGAATTATTGTGAATTTGCATGCACACCATAAATAAAATACAATAAAGTTTAATTTCTGGCTAAATTACGACTACTATATGTTAACGATAATACAAATATATCTGTTTAAAATACTACAAATGAACTAAAGATACTTCATATGGCATTCTAAGTTGGCGCGAATTCGTGGCTAAGTATACAAAATATGATATAAATAAAATATTATACAATTTCACATTAATTTTTGTATACTACGCCGCAAATTCGTGTTAACAATGAATGCAGGGTTATGTAGCCTAAAATATATTTTCAGTATGGTGCTAATTACTTGAAGCATATAATTTTTGGTAGGATAGGAATGTGTCCAAGACGTGGTTAATCGTACTGACCGGACGTTTCTTTGCAAAATTTGTTTCAAATCATAAATATTTTTTTACTCTCCAATTGGTCGTGAAATGAAGAAAAATACATTGATTGGAAGAATGTGAAAATTAGAAAAATATCAATAAATTTTTTTTAAAAAAAATCAAACACCATTTTCATTGGTAGAAAAACCTTTGAATATTTTAAAAATTAAATTTAGAGGGAAATCAGGGCAAAAATATCTACCCAAATTTGATTGGACACTTTCATTTACTCTCGCCTCGTCATTTCTCGCCGCTTATGGTTCCCTGAATTGTTCGAAAAATAAGCTCCTTTGATATTCATTTGTCAAATATTTAGCTCTGAAAAATAAAGATTTAGTGACCTCTCAGATAGGACATTTTTCAAAAAGGGTGAAATTACCTGTTGAAGAAGAATAAATTAGGCTCGAAAATCGTGTTCTTATATTAACAAGTGTTTATTTTCGTTATTTCAGCATTGAGCATGGATTTATGTTTAAAAAAGAGAAGTTTAATATATAGAAGTACATGCTCCAGAGCTAACTAGAGACCTTTCCTCTATGGAATCAGTGGTTAGGGTTTGATATCATTATTTATATTAAGACTATTGGAAGAATGATAGATTGTGGAGTGAAAAATTCTAATAATGATGTTTACTATGATTTATTTTGATATTATTTGAGATTATTATGTTTATACTCTTTTCCATTGCGGCTAGATTTTTAAACCTTCTATTAAAATTATTGGCCAACTCAAAACAAGATAAAATGCTAGATAGTAGGTATAAAAGTATACAAATAATCATAATTTACACATTTGAAATGGTACTTCACAAAGTAAAAATGCATAAACTAGAGGTCGGTTCCTGAACCGGCTCGTGAAAATTTCCCATCAGGTTTTTCGAAACTAATATTATTTTCACATGACTAGTAGTAAATTAAATTTTACCTCCGGTCCGGCCCATATAATTTTTTATGAAGGAAAATCACAAAAATTTGCTTTATTAACCTTAAAAAAAATTATGAACTTCGACCCGACCTACTCGTAAATATATTTTAAACATTATGCCTAGCCCGAAAAAAATTTGGTTGGACAGGCTTCGCTAATATTTACGTATAGCTATATTTTTTTTAATTCAATTTTTCATAAAATAATTTTTTTAAAAAAAATTTAAATTTATTTTATTTTAACATTTATTTTTATTTTTTTTAATCTAAAATTTATAGCTGTTATTGCAATTTTTTTTTTGATTATTTCAAAACAACCCCCCCCCCCCCCCCGATAAATAGATTTAAAAGAGAAAATATAAAGTACAAGGTTCATCTCTAAAGAATGTAATATTTACTAATACCATACATTCATTTATATTAAACACTGTAATGAGTGAATCCTACAAGCATTTCATCATTCTAAACAACTATTTCAGGGACTCCACTGAGCAGGAATTTTTATTCCATGCAGCTCTATCCCTCAGCATGGATCTGTTTTTAAAAAAAACCACTTTAAAAAATTAACCACATAATATATGAATAGAATGGAGGATTTTAAAAATATGTAATTTGAGCGGCGATTACTCATCTCATTTATAGACAGATTATATTCAAACCATATTAATAAATAAAATCGAAATATATAAAGATATATTAACGCCAATATAAATTCACGATATATTAATTCATGTTACGTTTATACGAAAATAAATGATGAGACGTTAATTTAGTTTGCATGGTAGGTAATAAAAATAGGAGAAAAAAAAAATTAAAATATTTTTATATAAAAGTTTGACTTTTTCCTAGCAAATGTTTGCTCTTAAAATCCCCCTATTTCTTAGAAAAATTTCAGAAATGCTTTTGAGTTTAAAAATATATTTATTTGTGGTTTTGATTTTTTTTTTAATTCTTCTCTTTTTAATTTTACATAATATAAAAAAAATGACTTTTGTTGTAATACCAATAATTTTGTAATAATTTGAATGTTGAACTTTCATCTATTTATAATTTTTTATTTTTAAATTAAAAACCAATTTACAATCCATAAGTTATAATCATTCCTATTAAAAAATATCATGATGATAAGTAAGTTTTTAAAAAAAATATATATATTTTTATGATTATATGAGCATCTTATTGGTAACATATGACTCAGATAGTAGACAAATTTGCCTTGTTTGACAAGGTTTATAATAAAAAGAAATGCTCAATTGGAACTAAAAAAGGATGTTAGCGATAAAATTATTCAAGATGTATACTGATTTTTGCCTATACTTTTAAACTATTGTTTATTATTTTCATCATAAAATCGATAAATTTTACTAAATAAAATAAAATCAATATATAGATCTTCTTTTAAATTTAAAGGCTCACATCAGAAATTGTCTAAGCCAGAAAAATATCATAGCAATATAAGCAAACACCTAACTTCTCTATATCCTGATCAAATGGCTCCCAAAATCAAAATTCGCGGTCTTTTTTCGAATAATTCCAATATTTCTATCGTGCGGATGATGGAAGGAGACGTTTCCAATGGCGTCAATAATAATGCAATAAGAAATAATGGAAGGAATCATGGGGATGCTTCAAATAATGTGCAAGAGTGTTGGGTGAAAAGACGAGTCAAGAAATTAATTGAACGCAGCATATACACCAAAGTTAACAAAGCCAATTCTATGGCAAACAGTTAAGAATCATATTGTATATATTCTATGGCAAACAGTTAAGAATCTTTTTTATATATATAAGAGAAACCGGGATATAATGATTGGTATTTTGCATTTTTACTTTAAAATTTTGAAAGAATAAGAAAGGAACAAATTATAGATTTATATGTAACCAAATCTTTCATCTGCAAGATATAAAAAGGTATCGCTTTCTACCTATGTTATTTTAGGGGCTACGATTAATTATGTAAAATGTTTCACAATTTTACCTTATTTTTCAAATTTCCGAAATTTACATGTTTGTGAAATTTATATAAAATTATAACATATGCCCAAAAGAGATTAGAAATCAAGAAATTCAATTTTAAATCCGCAATTAGTATATTTTTTAGCCTAGAAGTTAGTTTCCTCTCTAACCTGGCTGGAGACCAGGGAAAAAGGGCGATTACTTAGTCCTTTCGCGCCCGGAATATTTCCCATGAACAAAAAATACTTGTTTGATATAATAAAATAATGATTTTGATATAAGAAATAATGATTTTAATAAATATTGTTTTATAAATTAATATTTCTAAGTACCAACCATTAGTTTCTTTAAATATAAAAATTAATTGATTAAAAATTTTAATGACAAATGATCTCACTGGGCGCGAACGGGTTAGAGAAATTTTCCAAATTCTTTTTAATGTAAATCTACCACAATCAAATAATTTTAATTGGTCAACTCTGCCCCTTATATATACACATAGATTTAATTTTGTCTAACTAATAGACATATTTTACTGTATTCTATCCGACATGCGTTGCTTTTTTTACTGAAAAAGCAGACTATATTTTTAAAATCCAAACGATTTTTGTTTAATTTTTAAATTATAATTTGATTCATTAATTAGGTTTAAAACGACGCCGATTACATTTCAAATGCAAAAGGAAACTGGAAATGAAAGAAATTCTATATTCCCGCTGCCCCAAAAATTCTTCTTCATCCTCAGAAATATTAAAGTATTGTATAATCAGATATGTTTTTTTAAAAAAAATGATTTTTTTCTCTTCTTATAGTTGAAGTGCGTAGATTATATTTTTTTTTCCACTCAAATGTTATTTAAAATATAGTATTAATTAATGGAAATCAAAATAAGAGAGCTCGCGACTTTTTATTATTTTTATGACTTTAAATTCTTTCATAAACATGTATGATTAGCGTTCTGATGTCTTGTAACACCCATCCCACCCCCCTTAGTCAATGACACAGAGATCCTACTCCCTTCATGACTGAAATATAAATTGCACATAGTGTCGCAATTATAACATATCCCCTCTTGTTAGAGGCCCCTCATGACATGGACTAGAGGGTTAATAATCTAATTGAGTTAATTACGGCATTATATCCTATTTTTATTCCTTACTACGGCAGTTTTCCAAAAAAAAAAATTTCTATTTTTTTTAGCCCCACCACAAAAATATTGAAAAGGTTGCTGAAGGAATTTTCTGAAGATAAAAGGATGTACCCAACTAAGAGTACGGATCATAGTGAGCAGAACCGAGGTTCATCTTGGTGGAAAAGTTATACTGACCTCGCGGTTCCTCTTTTTTGGCACAACAAAATGAATAATCATATGCAAAATTATAATTATCTTACAAGTTAGTTAATATAATTTACCTTTTTAAAAAAATAAAATTAAAAAGGATTAAATATTTGTAAGTTTTGTCTACATTAATGAGGAAAATTTAATAACTAAGCAAAAAAAGATCTACTGGAAAATCCTACTCAAAATTAGATTACAATCATAGTCGATGATTTTTTTTCGGGCTCGATGTGATGTGTGAAAGTGATCTATAAGATTTCGGAATCTCACACCATAAAAATCCCATGGATGGGTTGTGAGATTTTGATTTAAATGGCCCTCAATGTTTTTGAAGCGATAAATCCAAAGTAAAAATTTTTATAACCTGAATTTTAAATAATATATAGAGACATTAATGGTCTCAATGTAAACATTTTCACACGTTACACCGGCCCCAAATTGATTCTTTTTTTTTATAAATAAAGAAATTTTGGATTTTACCTATTTGATTTGATTCATTTCTATTTTACGATTTATTAATCTTAATTATTTTATTATTATTATTAAAGTACCAAATTAAGAAAAGAAAGATTTCAAAAGAAATTGAAGAAGTCATAAGTTTTTTTTCTAATTTAAAAATTATCTATATATTTTTTTATGTATTTACATTAAAATAATTATTTAAAATTTCACGTAATAATATAATCCAAATGATTAATATATAAAAAATTTTTTTTAAATTTTTGTAATATTCATAAAATTTAATTTTTATTTTTTTTAAAAAAAAAATATTAAATAACTTGTATATTATATTTTTAATTATATAAATGGTCATAAAAAACCAAAATAAGTATTGAACAAAAATGTATTAATTGTTATATAGAAATTAAATTATTTTGATCATATATTTCTTAATTTTGACAATAATTATTAAAGTTTACTTCGATTTTGTAAAAATAATCATATTTAATTTTTTTTTTATATTCATGAACAAATATTATATAAAATATATAATATATTTATTTATATTAACAAAAACTAATTTATAGAAAATTTATTTATTGATGTGATTACGGCGACATTATGATTTATTTAAAAGGTTTTTTTTAAAAAATAAATTGGTGGTTCATTTATTTTATATATTCGATTCAAAATTTATCCATTTTTTTACCCATTCATTAAAGTTCAAAAATAAATTTAGCTTCAAGTATAAATTGGTTGGGGCACTTTAAAAAAATTATATATATATTTTAAAAATTTATAATAATATATATAGTTGAATTTGCATAAATTTAAATATTATACTTTGAAAATTAAAAGTTTTTATTTCGGGGCATTTTTTTTAAAAATTCAAAATAACCTTTTTTTTATACGGCATAATTTTGTCTGATATTGTTGTTTCAAATTGTGCATTTTTCTTTTATGATTTGGAAAACCATTGAACTTATTTTAAATAGAATGTCTGATATCTTCACCTTTTATGAACTTAATCTTTTAATAAACTTAGGAAGTAATATTCGAGATGAGCAAATGTATAGGGGAGACCAATGAAAATTGGCCTAGCCATATTTTTACCCTTTCATAAGGTTTAAAAATTAATTTCGATCCGATAAATTTAATATGAATGTGTAATCCAAACAATCTATAAAATAAAATCAAAGCACCCCTATTTATAATAGTTTTTCTGATAGACCATTTTAGGTGAAAGTCAATTTTTTTTTGATACGGTACAAAGATATAATTATACATTTTGAGACGAAATTATTTATCTGATAAAAAGCTAAAGTAAGTGCGGCCAGACCCTATGGTTACTTAATTCTGATTTCCCCCTAGTATTAAAAACAGTTTCATGTATATAACGCGGGCACGCTGTACTCTAAAAATTTTGTAGGGGGCACGCTAAAATGGGCAATAAATAGAGATAAAATTTCATTTCCCTGAGAATTTGAAGTAAAATTTTATTATTTTTTTTAATAGTTCATATGGAAGCATTTTATGTAAAATACAATATATCTATAAGATTTACAGTATCAGCGTCACCAGAGGGGGGGGGGAGACGCAGGGCTCCAGTCCCCTGAAAAAAAAATATAAGAGCCCCAGAAAATTTTGAATTTGTTCTTAAATACATGTTAGCTAAAAAAGGCAATTTGTAAATGTTAGCTAAAAAAGACATTTTGTAAATGTTAGCTAAAAGTCATTTTTAAAATAATTTAAAAAATTTTTTTGAGCACCCTGAGATTGAGAAGGTTAGTGACCCCCTGATATATAGAATAGCTATTTAGATATTTATATATTTAGATAATGTTAGCCACGGAAAAATGGTAATTTTGGATAATGTTAGCTAGAAAAAAAAAGGTAATTTTAAAAAAAAAATTTGAGTCTCCTGAGACTGTAAAGCTAGTGACGCTGCTGAATAGTAGAGTGTTGACGCAGAAGATAATGACCGGGAAGTCCCTTTCCTTTTGTTTGCAAGTAACTATAAAGAGGTGTATCATGAATCCAAGACCTTCAGAAAACTAATGTCTTGGCGTAGAACGGCGTCAAAAGTAGGATTTGTCAATAAGTAGCTTGAGATATAAGTAGTTATAGCTGCAGATGGAAATTACTCCAAGACCCGTAATTTTTGTTGGAAGAGAAGAGGCCACAGCAATTTTTTTAAACTTAAGATTTCTTCGGTAAGTGGCTTTATTCCAGTTTCATATGCGATTAATGGAGTGGAATACTTAAATATAGGGATAGTTCTAAGAGCATAAAGAATACACGGTATATTAGAGGAAAGTAGGAGTAAGATATCGCCCAAATTGCAAAGTTTCTTAAGAGTTGAATGAAGAAGAGTGCAAACGGCCGAATCACCACCAGATCCTAAATATGTTAATTGATTTTTATCAATGATATTAAATTGTGAGTCTTAAATTTGAAACAATTTAGCTGAATGAGAATGAGTCTTAAAGATAAACCAATTTCCAGGATTATATAAATGGCTTATCAGTGTAGTTCCCATTCTAATCAATGTGCATAAGAACAGAACCGGGGTTTAAAAAAATAGTAAACACTAAAACTGTCTACCCCATATTTAAACGTTTTAAATTTTTATGCCTATTTCTCACTATGTTTCTTCTTATAAAGTAGACAATCTGTCATTAGAGGATATATGGGTGTGATATAATTTTTAGCCCTAATTTTAAAAAAAATATTTAAAGTATTTGAATCATTGAATCTATTTAATTTTTCCTTATTCGTGGTTATACGGTATGTGTTGGTTAAAATGGAATTAAATGCATAATTGTGTCTAAGTTTATTATATTAAAGCATTATGGATGATAATAATTTACTATACAATGTAGGTTGAAAAACTCGTCTCCAAAAGAGCTGATATGAATGACAATATAACATTTTATTTGAAAACGATATTAACACGCCAGAGAATCTGCTCATATAAATGATCATAATTCGATTATACAATTAAATTTAAAATAAATTTGATATTTAAAATTCCTCACAATATATATGGATGAGGTAAGGATGAGTAGGAGTAACTGAAAGGAAGGATTTTAGTCGGCGTACATAATCAGCATTCATTTTGAAATTAAGTAATTTTATGTTATTCATCAATGGAACCTCTGGATGATAGACTAACGAGGTTCCTGGGTCTGATAAAAAGAAGGGAGCTCTATTTTTTGGATTTTATAGTCTAGTATTTAAGTTAACTAATTATGCAATTGATTTGGTTGTATAGGACCATAAATTAAACAGTAAAGTAAAACAATTGCCATATCAAGGCCTCTCGAAAATAATTTGACAATTAAGAGGTTTACGGAATGTTCATAGATATTTGAACTGGTTAAAACATTTTATATTATAAACTTTCAAGAAAATATAAATTTGCTTTATTGATTCTAAACTGAGATTCCAACATAATATATATGTATATGAATATAAAACACATAATATTTAGCAATATATATTTTTTTTCACATGATTATTAATATATAAGTATACTATATTATGTACATCTATTTATAATATTTCCCTAAATGATTGTCTAAAAAAACAATATAAAATAATTCTATTTTATTTTAAATCTTTGAAAGAATATTCTCTACGCATTCAATTGGCAATTCTGGTAGATGGAGTTGATTTAATGCTTTAATCTGAAAACAAATAAAAAATTAATTTTAAATGTAAAGTAAAATAGAAAAGGCTGGGTTTAACAAGAATTCTTAATTTTTCTGGAATCACAGAACTTTTTAAAAAAAAATAGAGCTCATTCTGTTAATTTAGTCCTCTCTCTTCTTTTCCTGGGTTAATTTCATATTCCATGATTAATTTTATAGATTATTTATAATGATAATAATAATAAATAGGCAGCAAATTCCAGTTAATATGTAATTTTTTTTTAAAACCTTTTCCTCTTCAAAATTTATCGAATCATCGTTGGATTTTTGAAAGAATTTGATGTTCGGAGTTAGAAAGTTGGCTTAAAAAAATTAATAATAATCAATTATATATGTAAAGATAATTTATTTATGACAATGCTTATAATTAGACCTGATGGATATTTTTTAATTACGATGAAAACGCCACCGTTTATGAAAATCACGCCAACGCATAAATTTTTAAAAAATAATCTTCATATTTTATACATTTTATTCTAATGATTGGCCAATATCACAAATTGGGGATTTCAATGTTGACAATAACAATAATGCCATTCAAATAAGAACATTAAATTGTCCCATTTAGCTCTTACAGTATATTAATTGTGCTCGAAAGAATATCTGGAAATAGTAAAAATCTAATTAACATTGTTATGAAAAGAATTGGAAAATATTATCGCAAACTTCATAACTAAATCGGATCTTGTAGAGGAAATATTTAAATTTTTTTTCAAATTTAAAGAAATAAATTTCTATCGCAAAAAGGGTCAACATTGAACTTGGTATCTTTTCAGAAGTGAAACGGAAACACATTTAATAGTAAATGATGGATTATTTCACTTAAGGAAAATATATTTTTAAAAATACTTGCCTTACTTATTCCCTGTTTATGATATTTAAATTTCTCTCGATTTGGAATGTTAATCTTTTTTTTTAAAATTATCATAATTTTGTATTTTTCATTTCATTTGAAAGTAATAATATTTTAATTTTTTTAAGTTACTATTTATTTCAAAAAGTATCTAGGTTGTTGGCTAATCTTCTAGACCTAAGATTTCAAAAATTAAGAATTCAAAATATCTAATAGAGCAAGATTTCACCTCGTCGGAATTTATTTATAAACATCTTAAATTTAAAGAGTATGATGATAATAGATTAGTAAATATAAAGATTGAAAACCAAAAGGAAATATATCAAATAAATTATTTGACAATCTTAACAAACATTCTACAACAAGCACAAATTATGATTCCACTTTAGGTGACTTAGAAAAAGAATGCCATATTATTCTTAAAAACGCCGAGGATGGAATTTTCTAATTTTTTTACACTAGTCAATAAATTAATTAGTTTTTAAATATGACAACTATAAAATTACAAAATTTCAGTTTTAATTTATAATTAGTATTATTTTTAATAAGGATGTAAAAAATAGATATTCCTTACTATATTTTATTTAATTTGAAAAATCAATTATCTATTTAAAATATACATATTTATAAAAGATTTATGTAGGTGCACTGATTTATGCCGCCTTTGTTGATGGTGGTTATAAAGCGG